GATTTTTCCACTTAATAGAAAATGCGATGAACTTTACATTACTTAAATAATTTATTATTAAACCTTCATTATTAAACAAAGTAAGTAAATGATTCAACTAAATACATACGACATAAATTATTCAGAAGAAATTATTATTATTATTATTATTCTAGTAATTAAATAATATTTTGACGTTATATAAAAATAATAATAAATATATACGTAATATTTAATGATGGAAGTTATGTCATTATATATCGATATTAATTGTATAAATAGTTATATAATATTTTACTTAATTTTATTGTATAAAACATTTTATAGCTAGCTGGAATAAATTTGATTCGATTATTACAAAATAATTAAACAAAAATTAAAATAAACATGTTTTACTTTGAGTAAAGTAAATTTTCAAAGACTGAAATATATCATTCTCTTGCCATCTAACGTTATACTTGGAAAAGTGCATTGTGTTTATTATGATGAATATGGCGCTCAATTTCTTAAATAAAACTATTACAAAACAATTGAAATATTCACAATAATAAATTAAAATCTTTTCAATTTTTTTCAAGTATGTAAATTTACATGTAATTACTATTTTGCTTTATTATTTTTTGTTTTACTTTTATGTGATGCACTTATTTTCTTCTTGTTAATTGGTAATCGTTATATTATTTTTTTCTTATTTTCATTTAATCCTGTCAATCAATTCTATGAAAATCTTATGTGATAGTAATTTCTTTATCTAACTTTAGTTTCTTTTTCCTTGATATTCAATCACTCATTTTTAAAACTGGCAATTGATGCTTCTTTTAAAACGTCAATTTTTTTTCTATTTTGTTTTAAAGAAAGAGATTGACTCTTCTACTATTATACTATGCCATTTAAAATTTCTTACCTGATAGAATTTTTAAAGTCTCTTTTAAAATCAGCGGGACACAACCTTTGTTCCTTTCGTATCCAGCATAGTATTAAGATAAAAAACGTCAATACGGAAACAGATCTTACCTGAACAGTTAGTATTATTTTATAATAAGTAATTTAAGTAAGTAAGAAAATTTTTAAATAAAACAATTTAAAAATAAAAATATAAGATGTATATTTTTATATTGATTTTATTGTTATTTTCTTATTTATTCTTTTATGAAATTTGAATAATTATCGTAATTTACAACAAAGTAAGCACAGAGTATATGATTTCGAAATAATATTGCATTCGAAATAATATTGCATTGTGCATAACATGTTTTTTATAAAGCCGCCAGTTCTGCGCGTTAGTAGTTTCGAGTTTGTTAAAGTGGTAATGCGTCGGCGCATCTTCATCGACGGCGACGCCGACGCTGATGACGCTTGTCAAGACAGGAGCGTCTCAAAGAAATCTTTCAGTAATATGTGTTAAAAAATTAAATAAAATATAGAATCTTTTAAGTGTAAATATATCTTAAGTATTGTTAAAATTAATTATATAAGTTCAATTATAACAAGTAGATCTTAAAAGATTATTTTATTATTGTTGTATGCACAGCAATATTATTTTATTTTACATCTAAATAATATTTTAAACTTAAGCAGAAAAAATACTTGTAAAATTCTTACAAGATAATGTTAACAGTGCAAGTTATCTATTCTAAAGATAACGTAAACGTGTTGTGAGAATAGTATTTAAAAATAGTATTTAAAAGAATAGTATTTAAAAAAATTTAAATTTAAATTTACATACGTTGCTTAAATAATGTAATTAAAGAAACATACACGGTAATGTAAATGAAATCTTTAACAGTAAACTGTATTGTTAATACGTATCAAATATGACTAAGTTATTATTTGTTTAATTACTCCTAGCAGTACATTTGCCAGCACTGCGACATCCCTGTCTATGCTTGAAACCTGCGCTCAAGGGTGACGGCCATGTCGACGTGGACCCTGCAGTGCTCCCACATACCCTCGGTTGGCGGCTACTCGTACGAAGAAACGATTGTCTCAAGGAATTGACAGAATCAAGTAAATCGAAGCAAGTAATCGTCACGCCGAATCACTCTTGCACGCAGCATTTGGGCTATGAATGAAGACCCAACCCTTTCACCTCGAGGTAATTATTCCTATACTCAGCGATATACCTCGTATCGTATTCGTTCGATGTGCCCGGGGGATTCATAATAAATCAATCGAAGTTGCTTCATGTGTGTGAAAAAAGTCGCAGGTTTCATAGATAAGAGAGCAGCACGGTCCAACGTGCCGTGATTAAGGGTAGTTAAAAAAAGTATTAATGTGCGTGAGCAAGTGGTGACGTTTTTATCGATTGCATTACTTATCGCACTGTGTGCCTTGAGGAAGAGTACTCTTTGGCAGTATACATATATATTGTTACGGACTGTATAAGGTTGATACATTCACTCGTGCGTCACTTTGACGTTTGCCATTTATTAGTCGATCGTAATGCGGCCTTAATTAAAATGTCATATACGTGAATAAGGAAGCTGTCTATATTGTGTCAAAAAAAAAACTATTGCGTGTTTTATGTCGTCTATATTATGAGCGTTTATATAAACATTAAAGAGGAGTTCTCTCTTCTGACCATTTGTCTCATTATAAAAGGTGTTTGAAAGAAGAATTATAAAATTAATCTTTTAACTTTTTATAGAAATATTATACATTTCCGGCAATTAAATAATATTACATTATCTTTTTTCTAGGTTTTAGCAGTATTGCTTTTATCTGTGATTCCATGGCCGGGTCCCAGCATCTTTAAAATATCATGTCCCCGCGATCGAGCATCCGTAGTGAGGAGGATAGTTCACAAGGTTAGAGAGTGTGTATATCCGTTTATCAATGAAACAATATTAATAGAAACAATCGGAAATTAGGAATATCTCTAACAATAAAAAAAATTTGACGCAAAATGTTTTTATTTGAAAAATAAAAATGTACGTATCCTTAATTTTTTTTAAATTGAACAATGTTTTTATTTATTGAATTTATTGGATTATGAAGTTATAAAAAGATGAGATCGGAGTAACAAGATAACATTTTATATTTTGCCGAAATTTCAGAGATGGATGCCAATACTGAAGAAGTATCAGGTAGAATTGCCTTTGGAATGCCCATTTCACGAAAGTCGAGATATTTTTCGGCCACAACAAAAGGCGAAGCATCAGCACAGGCCATCACAATGGACTTGTGGATTGTGCGGCAAGTCTTTCTATGCCGAGAAACATTTGGATGCCCATTTCGATAACAGACACAAAAGCAATGTGAATACGGTAAGATAAATTATGTGCCGTTCTTAACGCTTATTGATAATTTTTTATCTAGAAAATGAAATCAGAATGTTCCGCTCTAGATAGTTATATTGTAAATTAAATAAAACTTAACAAATATAAATCAAACTAAATAATTTGAAATAAATTCTATTGCAATCACTTATAAAAATTATTTATATCAGAAGAACAGACAAACATATATAAATTTTTTACAATAATGTAAATATATATCTCTGTTAAGAGATATTTCTTTTTTCCTATTTGTGATTACACAATCTTATGAAACAAAAGTTGAAGACTTCATTTAATTTTGATAATCACCAATTCACCTTTTTTTATCGATTAATATTGATATGGAGGAAAAATGGAGCTTTTATCTTCTTTTTTTAGGCAGAAGACGCGGTATGCCTAGCGGATTATTGCGATATCATGCGCTGCGACGTGCTAGGCAACCGCGACTTCGAAAACTCGGTGGACGATGACGGAGGTCATCTGAATACCGATATCCAAGTATGGCGCGAAACTACCGAGCAACAGCAACAACGGCGCAGCATTTCCGTCGTGCCGTGCGGGTCGCGTGGCCTCGCCAGGATGTATCCTGCGGATAAATCCTGCGCCATCGCCGGCGGTGGTGCGATGACGAATCTGCAGCGTTATTGCCGTCGCGACGATCATGACAGCGGCGAAATGCACAATCATAGATTAGCGAGACCATCCTATCACAACGAGATTGCCGAGACGGATAACAAGAGCAACGCTTGTGACGAGGAGGATGAAGATGAGGATGACGAAGAGGAGCCGGAAGACGAAGAGAATCTCGTGGAAGCGGCGTTGCCCGCTGTCGACAAGAAACAGAGACGACGAGGGTTGCATTTGAGGAAATTGAAGTCCAACTGCAAACCAGAGGAATTGCAGAAGCTGAAGACCCAATGTGAAGTGAGTTGAAGTGAAATTGTCACATAGTCGCATTGTGTTTCGATGCTATAGCTATTTATCTCAACTTTAAAATATTTTTTTATCAAAATATATGTTGTTATCAGAGTGAGTATCGATGATAAAAGTTCCTGCACTATCTCCGACTATTATATTTTAAAGATAATTCAATTGAAATCTGGCTGGACACAGATAGTCGGAATTTACAGATAGTGTACGATCTTTGATCCCGTTTATAAGAGATAAAGCACAAGAGGCACGCAAAACACGTTTGCAGACACGCCCGTCTATATATACCAATGATATGTAATAATCGCGTTTATCACGCGATCGTCAACAGATACTCGTGCGCGATTGCATCGCCGGACTGCTTGCCAATCTTTCCGTACGAGATTTCCAAGAGATCGAAGGTACGCGATCGATTATGTTAATAACCGTAACTCATACTTAACATTTCTCGATCAATCACGATTTATATCGACAGGTGAGCTAAACCGAGCGATTTGCTGGTATCTCAGCTGTGATAGATATTGGGAGGATACGAAAAGACCGCAACGTCACACACCATGGTACCTGCTGATTGTCTTCATGCTGCTCCTGTTCTCGTCGATCTACGCGTGTTATTACATAATCTGGGTCTGGTTCAAGTATGCTGCTTCAAGTGTGCTGAATTAAAGAAAATTCCTACAAATGTTTTCATAAGATAAAAATCGACAAGATCTATTAGTAGAGAAATTATCTCGCGTGTTGAAAAAGATGCAAATTTTTGCAAAAATTTTTGAAAAAGATGCAAATTTTTTTTGCAATTTTAAAAAAACATTTATGCAAAAGAATACATATAAAAAAGAACTTTGTCTATTGATAGTCGAAAAATATCATCAAATAACAATTATCATCAATTATATATTTATTATTACGTATTCATCATAGATTTTTTAAATAAACTTTTATAATATTATTTTATGTAAGACAATTTATCTTTTACGATCTTCTCTTATACTTTAATTAAAATTAAGTAGATGGAAATAAAAATAATCATGTCAACTATCGATAATATTATTAGTAAGATGCTATGCATATTTTGTATTGTTCGTTATATTGGAATACCTAATAAAAAAAGTAATTCTTATACATATTCGTTGTATGCAGTACCGCGGATGAAGATAGGTTAGACGGCACCGGAAGTGTGGATTACAACGGAAGCACAGATCGTTCGAGTACTTCTCCGTTGCATGATCCTAGTATTCATAATGAGGGTAGATTGGAGAGACGGAAGGGCGACCATGGGGATGAGAATCGCCCCTTGTCGAGCGAGGACATGCCCGATCATTACATCTACGTTTCGTATCCGCCTGAGCTAAAGCGGCGACTTCTGGAGAGGTAAATCAATTCGCGAGTGAAAATATAGAGTATATCAAAAAAGTATATCCTAGATCTCAATTATATATATATAATGATTTTCTTGCTTACAGCTGCTATAACAGGACCACTCGTCTGTAAATCGACGAATCGAATTAGGAGAGAATACATGCGCGAAAATTAAAATCTTACCCCGAGCTCTGCACAAAGAAAGGCACTCGAGGCTGAAACTCCTCACTCTCATTTTTCTCGTTATCCTCGTGTTTTGTATACCAAATGTGAATAAACTGCATCGTGGACACAACATCAATTGTATATTCACTCTATTTTTCTTTATTATCTTGTTTTCTAAAGACAAGATTACATAGCGTCGACGTAAAGTTTCGAGAGAAAAAATACGTTAGAGATATGTATTCAATATAGATAACGACTGGACTTTCACCCTCGACACTTCAAGAGATGACACTCCAAGTAAGTCAATTAAATAAATTAAATTTTCATTTTCGCTGTTATTTAACCGATTTTATTATGAAATTTTATATCAACAAAAAAGGAGCTTAATTAAGACAAGACGAGTGAAAATATAATTTATCACAAGAATACTTTTTACTAAAATAACATTTATTCCATAGAATAAATTATTTCTTTATGTACATGAATCATTTTTCTTATATATATAGTTATATATACCACAAATATTTTATAAACGATAGAGATAAAACGCTATATATAATATTAAAAAATAATTTAATTGCAGGAAAAAAAACAAAAAGATTTTATTTTGACTAGAATATGTTTGATTTAAAAAGTAATTAAAGCTAAAACCAATAAGTCATCTTCATAGTTCCATCAGAATCGCGTTGAGTATCCATTACGCTGGACTGACGAACCAAACGGCGAACATTTGCCGTGCTCGGCCGTTCTTCCAAAATAGATGAAGCAAGTCTCACTTCAGGCATTTCCTGCATCTCTACCGTTTCTCGCGTCGACAAGTTCTCATAAGAAGTCGTAATTGATGATGGTCTAAAAAACACAAATTTTAATACAATAAAATTCTTTAATTAAAATCATTAAAAAACCAACAAAATATCAAAATTATATCAAAAACAATTTATAGAATACATCGTTAAAATAATTTTTAAGTTTCTAACTAATTCAATCTTCTATAAAATAGTATTAACTATTAAATTAACTATTTTTATATATAATATTTCGTTATAATATATTGAAAAAAATTTTTTGGTAAAATCCGGGAATTTCAGATTAATAAAGCAAAATAATTTTCTGTGAGCGCAAAATATCATAAATAACCATTTAGTGTCAAACACATACTTTATTGGAACACAACGAATGCAATCCGCACATGACCAATTTTTGCCAAATAATTCTCCTTCTTCAACTGTTTGTGGTAGACGGTGATGCAATGTTTCTGGTAGCCGCAATCCAGATAATCCACCGATTACCGAGATCACGCCCAAGATAACCAAAGGCAGCACAAGATTTTCTTTTCCCTGTAAATTGTGTTCATAAAATATTCGATATATTATAAAAACACGCATTATAAGAAACAAATATATTTCTTTAATATTTAATAAGATAATAAATTAAGCAATGCACAATAACTCTCTTAGCAAGTTTTGAAAGAATATAATTTATTTTGCAGCAGAAATAACAGCAGAAAAAAACAGAAAAATTATTGAAATAAAATTCAAATACGAACTTACGAGATATGTTACGAAAGGTATAATGATGAGTCCGAGGCCGCTGACGTATGCGGAAAAGCCAATGGCAACTCCGCGTAATTGCGTAGGATAGAGTTCCCCGGCGAAGGGGTAAATAATTAGAAAGGACGCCGATATCGCAGACTTCGATATGAGAAATAAGATCAAGGTCTCCGTGACAGCATCTTAAATGAAAAATATGAAAAATAGTAACTGTGAAACCAATACGCCATAATTTTTTCGTATTATAACTCTCTACTATGTTAAGTAACTGACTTATTACTGTCGGCAATATCGGCATATTACACAATTGATTGATTATCTTGCTAATTAATCAAGTCATTAATTAATTGACCAGCAGTGCATACCGGGCGATAACAGCACCGTTGCAACACATGATACTCCAGCCACGACCATGCACAAACACAGCGGCCATCGGCGGCCCCATCGATCCATTACAACCCAGCAAGCGATGTAACTGGGAATCTCGGCCAGAGAAGAAAACAGAAAACTCAAATGTTCCTCGTTCCCTAAAGCTGGCCCATAATAGGAAAGACCCACATACACCATATTATTGGCAAACCTATGATCATAATAAAATCTATTTATATCTTCTTATACTATTATGAGAAATTCTTATAAATTAACGTATTTTATCTTTTGAAAAATTTACGAATCTCTAAGATATTTTATCTAAAAAAGAAATTTAATCAAAAGCAGATAATCATATTTGCAGATGGGTAAATTGACACCAATGTTAATTTATGTTTTTAGAAAGATTAAAATTTGCAATATGGATCCATATGAAATATTTAAAAAAATCACAGAAAAATCGTGAATAAGTCAAACAAAACTTTTTGCTTCTTTTTTTTTAACAATAATTATCAAAAAGGAATGTGATAAGCAAAGTCTAAAAAAGAATCACAAATAAAAAATAATCTCTGATACACGGGTAATTTGTTAAATATACCGATAATTTACATGATAATTTGTAACATATGCTTATTTTGACTTACCAGTTTAAAGTAATAAGACATGTTTTGAGACACATATTTGGCGTTTTGAAGAGCGAGAGAACACCGGGACCAGTTCGTAGTCTCTCCTCCTCGCTCTTCGATCTCGACATCGTCATACGCTGACGAAGTTTTTGTGTGAATGATACTGGAAGTTCTTTGCCATTCACACGGGCCAAAGTTTCAAGAATATCATTAGCCTCACTTAATCGACCTTTCGCTAACAACCATCGCGGTGACTCCGGTAAGAACCTATAACGATCTCTAATATTTTATGCAAATGCTTACATGTATTTGTGTATAAAAAAAAAGTAAAATTATTTCGAAGGACGCGGTCTCGATGACAATAAGAGCATTATGTTAGTGATAAGCATATTTATCTGTGTTTGTGTATCGCTATAAAATTTTGATAATATAAAATTCAAAATCCGTTTAGAATTATTTCAAAATTAAAAACATTTGTTTTCATAAATTGATGACAACTCAATAAATTAGACAGATACTTCAGAATTAATTAGTGATAAGAATTAAAAATATACCTTATCACAAACTTTCATAAATCATAGATATAATTATCTAACGTCAATTTATATACAATTTATTCTTATGTTTATTATAATCTTCAATGGTAGCATTAATTGTTCACTCACCACCAATAAAAAAAGTATATCAGGAAAGGCGCACTCGTGGTTACGGCGAGTGTTCGCCAATCGCGTATCAAGTAAGTGACGCCTGCTAGCATGCAAAGGCCCATCGTATAGAAAGTGCAAGTCATAACCGTGACGAATGAACGATAATTTGGACCGACCAGTTCCAAGGCTATAAAAACATTTATACTAAATCTCGCCAAATTCAATGAACTGATAGATAAGATTTTAATTAGACCAATTAATAAAATAATCCTTATCAATGATAAAATTCAAATTTATTTATTATATATTTAAGTTCACAAGTAATGCTTACATATAATAAAAGGTATTTGATAAATTGCTGGTATTGTCAAACCAACGACAAAACGTGTAGAAGCCCAAGTCCAAAAATTGTTCGAAATTGCTGTTAGAAAGCTACCGGTTATTAATGTCGCCAAACACGTGAAAAAGGATAACCTTCGACCGATTCTATCCAAAATAAATTATCATTCATTAACAACGTTAGCATATAAGAAAATTGTTTGTTAATTCAATCTGATAAAATTCCAACTGATAAAAACTCAATTAAATTTAAATATAACATCATTAAATAAATTAAAATGTAAGATAAATAATCTGTAAGATAAAATTCTATTAAAATCTACTGAAATAAATGGATAAGATATTTTGATAATTTTTAATTTGCTCAGGGAAGTAAACAAGATAATTGTGATAATCTAATACAAAAAAATGTGTTTGAAACGAGATTTATAAGTGTAGAAATCAAATTTTTTTAATTAATAGATATCTACTTGTCTTCTACTTCTTTACCTGTCATTTAATGTACCGAACAGATATACTCCTATGGGACCTCCTGTATTAAGGGCCACCAAACCAATCGTTGGATAGATCGCACGATCACACACGAGATCAAACTGTAACATGATTGCGGTTTTCTAAAATGCAACATTTGGCTGTTGGCCAAAATATTTTGCTCCTTTTATTAAAAAAAGAAGAAGTTTAATCTTGCATTTTTTCAAATTAAAAATAAAATCTGAATAAAATATTTTATATGCATTTTCATAAAAAGATTTTAGTACGTTTGTAATTGTATTTTTTTATCAGAAACTGGTGAAATTATGTATCATCATAAAATTTCGAAATTCAATTTGTTCTTGAATAATACATTTATATTTGTTATTAACTTATAACTTATAAATTATTAATTTAACTACGGTTTGAAAAGCCCAAATAACAAGTTGTTCAGTTTTTTTCTGTACAATTAGATAGACGGACATACATCGATGACGATAGATGATGTCATTTCCGAGGCCTCGTACTCCCAGCCATGATCGCAGGGCACGACAGACCACGATGTGTTGGGTATAGAATACGTCGCCACGATAGAGTAATTCTCCATCGTCGTTGTCGTCGTCGTCCAATCGATGTCGTATCGCGTACACTGGCTGTACGTTTCGTTATCATCCTGCTTTCACATGACATATCTTTTAGCGCCAGACTCTGCGACGTCGCATGAATAATACATTCGCTACAAACTGTAAGACGGGATTCATTCTACCGGAATGCATCCAATTGCGTGAAACAAATGACAGCCTTTACTCCCAGGGTTTAACGCATTCTACTTGGGCTGCTATAAAATTACTCTTGTACAACGTTGCATTTACCGAGGTTGATTACTCCTAACGTCAAAGTAAGAGTAAACTAATCTGGAATTAGTTTGCTCTATCTATAAGTTTCTAAGCACTAACTAAACAACCCAATTTGCAATTAAGTTTACGTACGACGGAAATAATCGAGTAAACGTTATACGTGTACAGAGAGGAAAATAAGTTATGATAGAATATAGTTAAGAAGAGAATTACACCGATAGGATATACAGCAAATAGCACGTCTAGCGCTAAATACGGAAAGAAGATACGGCGTGATGAGCCGCAAATGAAGAAAAGGAAGTGACGCAACGCATCAACATATAATCGACGTCTTTACGAGTCGACGTACAAGAGCGGCGTTGCATCTACAAAGCATCGACATTGTATTCTCTCACACCATCGACTGCACCTGACTCGCGGGAATGGCGAGACGTCTTCTGCGAACGGAATCCATGTTCTCTAAACCCGGCACCTTGCACCAGTGCGATGGCGTGTCTGCCATGAACAATTGATTGAAGGCGCAAAAGCCGCAGGGCAAACACGCCGGCAAACAGACCAGCCACAGCAATTGCTTCTGATAACGACCAAATTCGCCGACGATCGGCAAAAGGTCGTCGAGATCGAAGTCATCCTGCGAGACATTTCGTGCAGAAACAGATTCGCGATCGAATCTCATTAGAAGAACATCGCTATCATTGTTATTTTTGGCTATTTTCATTTCTCTGAAGTTGATTAATAATGACGCTTTTCATTTTTAATATTTACGTTTTAAAAATATTTAATATTATTTTTGCAATTAAAAACTAAACTCTAAAAAATTCAGCAATAAAGTTAATTATAAGATATTTATAAAATTAGATTATTGTCATTCATTTGTTGAAACTTAATTCTCCATTAGAATTTTCGTTTTTAAAAAATTATAGGAGTCGGTCATTATCTTTCCATATTTTTGTGTTACGAGACAATTAAAATTCTTTCAGAAATCTTTCAAATTAGTCAAACATAGTAAAAAAACTAACTAAAAGATAAAGATGTTGAAACTTTACATCCTCATTTAAATTCGTCTTGGAGATTGGAAGATTATTGTTATATACTAAATCATGTTTTACGACATGTGATTAATTTGTATGTTAACAAGATAACGAAAAGTATGTCATTTCGATAATTGATTAGCGAGCGAAGAATCAATCAATTTAATATCTTTATATTTTTAGTATCAGATTTCTCTTCCGTGATGTAATTAAAAATCAAAAGAGATATCCTAAGAACAAAGAAATATTCTTCGAGGAAGCGAACAATAAAAAAATAATACTTACGTCATTTTCCGCAACTCTGGCATTATCGGTCCGAATCGAGCCACTGTCGTCATTCTGTCGCTCCATTTCGATGAACTTCAACCTCGTTTCGCGTTATCGAAAGCCCTGATGATACCTTATAAAGGCGTCACGTGACGTGCATTAGCTTCCATCCGTGGATAATTCGACCGATGCGAAGCGCGTTGCATCGTATCTTGCCCGTTTCCCTCCGCAATAAAAGCACAAGAGTATGACTTCTCTTTCTTTGGTGGACTCACAAAAGTGCACCATGCACCTCAACGATTTCAGCACCGACGGCGATTCGCCGCACTTCGTCTTCTATTAACAGGACACGGGTCCAAAATACAAGAACACTAGTGAGTTCGAGTATTCTTCCAGTTGCCGAGTTTAGTTATTTGGTATTTTTGTAGATTATTTATCGGTATACATAAAATAGATTCATAATCCGTTCATTCACTTTTCACGTAAAATATCCAAAAAGATACGGAAAATATATAATGTGTTTTCTAATGTTTAGAATTTAAAAAATGAAAAAATAGAAATTTATATAATTAACTTTCCACAATCAGGATTTTCGATAAATGGGAACATAAATGATTTTCAGGAACTGTGAACAATTACAAACGTCGATCATGCTTCTTTGATATAATGTGATCAATGCACCAAACGTCAAATGTGATTTAGTTGTATTACATTCACTTAAGCTTTGTCAGTTAAAAAAAACGCGATATTTGATTTATTATAAATAATGACATGACAGCTTGATCGATTCCACGAGCACGTTTGTCCTATTCGAAAGAACGTATCAGAAATGCAACGTGCGGTTAATTTGTGACGCGTGTGCCGTGGAGTGAGTCCTTCTAATTCAATTAGGTTAAAGGTACTTAAGAGAGATTAAGAATAACGCTGACATATACATACTATTACGAATGATGATGCAACGATCTGATCGCTTCTTTATCCCTATTCTTTACGTATAGGTAATTTTTGTTTAAAGTAATAATTTTTAATTTCATTGAAGAAGATTCTGTAGATTAGTTGATTAGATTAGATATTGAATTCTCTGGCGAGCGTAGAAACATAAATAATCCGAAGCAACAATATTTACAGAATAATACTAGAATCAAGAAATAAAATTCTCAAAAAAATTTAAGAAATTAAAAAAATTTTTCTAATTTCTATTCTAATTTCTCGAAGAATACTCTCGCAAGTAAAAAATGTATGCGACAGGTGTAAAACTGAGATGTTCGAAAAAGGATAATGACACATATTGATTGTGCTTGATGTATTTGAGCGACGACTGGTAATAATGGCATCACCGCGTGTATACAGATTTCAAATGAAATTTATTTTCGGGCCATCATGTTTTTTTTTTTGTGAGAGAAAAGGAAACCATGAAATAAAAATAGGAAGCAATTCGCAATTTTCGCCGATCGGATCTCGTTTTCACCTCTCGACATTTCGCATTCCCGAACGTAGACGCGAGCGCATCTCCCGCGTTCCGCGTGCTCGCGCCTTCGAAGAAAGACAAACCAAATCGGTGAAGAAACAGTAGTCGAAATGACTCGATATTGTATGGCACTGTCGCTTGGCGATTCGTATAATCTTGGTCTCTTGCACTCATCGGTACAGTCAGCCACATTAATGTCTTGAGTGATATGCAAATCGAATTGTTCCTGTGCAATACAACGTGAACGATGCATCGAGGACGTGCGAGCGCCGAAGAGAACATCCTCGCGTTTTAGCGAAGAGTCACGATATTGTGCCGCGACGTTTCTCCGTGTCGTAGAGGCCTCGTGAGGCCAATCGAGCGACCATTAATGTGACCAATTATACGCTAGACACACTTCCCGAAGAATCGTCCCTCAATCATTCCACGATCGCTCTGGCACTCACGTAAGCGATGTAGCCGAAGTCACATTGTTGTCAATTATAAATCACCACAGGAAACACAATCTCCGCAAGCACCACACTGACTGACTCGAACCGAATAGAAATAAAATGATAACGCGGTGCGTTGGTTCTCGCACCGCATGGATATGCCGCACCCTCTCCTATTGAAGTCCGATTGAAGCTCCTCGCGACCGTAGGAGCGAAACTTGCAAAGAAACAAGTGAAAGAAGAAAGAACATTGTATTCTTCTAATTCTTATAATTATAACACTGATTTCGACCGTCCGACTACCCAATTTTCACATTATATGTATGTAAATGCTGACAAATTAATAATCACATGAAAAATAGACTTCGATATCTTTCTAAGCAGAAAATCCTTTTAAAAAACAGAACATTTTATGTGCACGGATTCAAATTTTAGATGGAATAAGTAACTTTAAACTATAATTTTATATATTGTATTAACTGTGAAATTATAAGTCAAACGTAAATTCAAATTTCTCAAATTAAAATTTAGAATTCGTAACTTGAAACTCTACAAGTATTACATATTGTCTTCATTCACTTGGTTCTCTAGAATTCCGGGATTTATTTGACGTTAAATGGAATACCCGAGTGAATGCTCCGTACAGCCTGAGATCTTGGTGGATCTTCGTTTGTCTTTCTCTTCCTCCTTCTCTCTGCATTCATTTTATTTTACTAGATTTGAAATCACGATATCCAAATATTTAGTTATTATCCTATGTTGATTGCCATGCTGTGCCGTCGCAAAAATGTCTGCGACAAAAATATCTTTACATCATAATACATAACATTTAGCTAATGCGGCAGCCGATCAATCGAATAAACTCACGCTATATTAAATCCGACGGCTCTACCTTCCCTTGCAAATTCCCCCTTAAGTATATACAAAATAAAATCTCTTCTGTAACATCACATTTCTCAAAACAGCGTAATTCTCTTTTCAAATTAATCATTTGTCAGAAACGATAGATGTTCGCAAGGCGCGAACAAATTTGGTGCCTTTCCCTTAGCTCGATACCGATCGCAGACGCAAAAAGGGCATCGAGTTGAGCAAGTGTTAACGATTACGTCCGATCTGCGAGGGTCACGCCATTCGAAATCCGGCGATTCGATTGCCACCCTCGCGTCGCGAGAATAGGCCATGATTTTTGCTCGTCGCCTATCGGCGCTCTTATCGCAACACGAAGAAGCTATTATCCTACAGAGATCGGCGGATCGAGTGCCAGGAGATTGCTTGGAGGAGAGGGTGGAGCAACAGCGGCAGGCGGACGTCCACATTCAGAATCGTCCCCTTTATTTTCTTCTCTCGCTTCACCCACGCATATATAGGTCGCCCAGAAACACATTTTCTTCCCACCACGCGCGCCAATTATAATTAGCTCGGTCCGATCGCTTTTCTCGATCGGCAGCAACACTCGGCACTCTTTCGTACCAGACGTCATCCACGCATGCAGCTTTTTTTGGGTTTTTTTTCTTTTTTTTCAATTAGTTCGCCCACTTTGTCGCGACGGTGACGTCGCCCTCAACATTCCACCCTGGAAAAATGACGCGGATCGCAGGGAGTCTCGGCGAGTTTACTTTGACAAGATGATTCCGCGGCAATTTCGCGGAAACGAGAGATCCACCGAATTTTATTTAGACATTTCCTTTATTGCTACTGCACTATTGGAATTTTCATTCGATTTATGTAATAATTCGATTATGTAATAATATATAATAATTAATTAGTAGGAACACATGATTCTTAATTGACGGATTGCAGCATCGACAATTCTCTCCGGAAGTGATGTCCACGCACGATGCGATGAAAAGTTTTCAATCGCAATTTCCGCAATTTAAAATACTATCGATTCTCTAAGTAGACTACTCTGCTTCGACAATATTGCCGAGAATAAAAAAAAAAAAAAGAAATAGGAATGCTCGCTTCAATTCTCCTGCGATGCCACCGTCGCCACCGCCGCGCAATCAAGCATCGAACAACAGATCTACGCGTTGGGCTCGTGTTTCGCGACTCGATCGTTAAAAAATATTATCGAAAATATTGTCTCGTACGTACAAGGACACCGCAGGCGGAAGGCGAGTCGCGAAAAACGCTTGCGAGCCAGCGGAATCACGTGGAAATTTCGAAAGATAACAATGTTGCAACTATTTTTTAGTTTACTTTGACAGTTGCTTCTCCATGATCCAATCTTTAAAATCCCGTACAAAATTACTTAAATTAAAATGTTACATTAATTACGTCAAGTATTAATCGTACGAAGAGTAGAAAGTAATAAAAACTACTATTGACTTCTTTCTTCTTTCTTTGCTTATTTTTTTCAATTATTCCTATTACGGTATTTTAATACTAAAATTATTATTTATTATAGATTTAATATTAATTATAGAGATTAGTTTTGATAATATAGAGATCACATTTCCCCGGGAAATTTTCCATCGATCCCGCAGACCGACAGGCGGCGCGAACCGATCCGCCCCGCGATACAAAATTTATATTTACTTTTACACATTTGCTTGGCCTTCTGTTTCTTCATGCATCGACGATCCGTTCTCTCTTCTCGAACGTGACGCCGCGATTCACGACGAATCACGAGCCAACCACATATCATCAACATCCTCATTATCATCCTCAGCATCAACATCAACATCAACATCAGCATCAGCAATATCATCATTATCCAACATCTTCTCTCCCCGATCCGCTCCATCAATCATCATCGACGCATGCTTGGTAAACTTCCTTACTTACTTCACAGCGCACATCATCACTGATACAGCGTAATGCACACGACTTTTAAATATACTACGTAAAATACGCTCATATCACGTACGTTCGCTCTAGTAAGCATCGCACGCACTCTAGGAGTCTCGACGATGAAAAGGCTAAACAACTAATTAGTCGACAAGATAAGTCGCTTTGTCGTGCTATCGTAAGTTCCCCTAGGCTGGCTTCGCGTATCGACGAGAAATCCTTGTCATGAGGCTCTTTCGCTACAAGGACATGTTACATCGCTTCCACGGAAGCGTCACAAAAACGTTATTACAGTGGAAAAACTCTATTATAAAAAAGAACATAGACTTTGCGCGAACATTTTTCGTTGACTTATGATCTAGGACAATTTTTTTCCACAGAGCAGTATCGGAATCCGATAATTTGTTTTCACATTGGATTAATACTTCCCGTGTTAATCCTCTATCACTTTTATGAAATCTTTGGCATACGAATTTTTGGAATATCTAGACCTTTCTTGTTTAACGGATCATCCGAAGCTCTATTAAAAACTTTTGATCCTTCTGATAAAAGGATAAGGATTGGTTGAGAAATGTCTAGTCTAAAGAGTAAAGGATTTTAATTCTTCTTCCGACGAGGATGTCGATGCTCGTTACGAAGCCAGCCTGATAAAGCACAATACTCGAGAGCGAGTTTCCCTCTGGCGATGATCCCGACGTGTGCGTTTCAGGCTCGATCAGGTTGTCGAGGTAGAGGAAAAAGAGAAAAAGCTTCGATCGTAGGATATGCTAGGATCAGGATCGTCCGCCAGAGTTTCGTCTCTGCGATCGACAAAGAAATCGCGGCAAATCGCGAGGACCGTGCTTTCTTCAGGGCAGAATGTCGACTCCTCGCACACGAGAGTCTCTCTCCAAAAATCACAGTCACATATATATCTATTATTTCTTCTTTTTTGTATTTTTGTATTCGTTTCTGTATCTTGTCGCTTCATCTCCTGCAA